TGTCGTGCCCGTAGCCCTTGCATGACTCACATCGCACGGGCTTGCTCTCGGGGCAGTTGGCCACCTGGTGGCCCTTCTTACCGCACCGGAAACAGCGACCGCGCATGCTACCCGCATCGTCGTCGCCGCCTCCGCTGCCGCCTCCAGCCTTCGCGCCACCCCCTCTCCCCTTCTGGTTGCCGCCGCCGCCGCCGCCACCCTTGCGGCGGCCGCTGTTGCCGCGGCCCGGCGCTCCTCCCCCGCCGCCACCGTCACTCGCGAGGAGAGCATGCTCCGCCCTACGCTGGCCCTTTTCAACCTTCCTCCCCTCCGGGAGGCTGGCGTGCACCGTGCTCACGATCCTGACGATCTCGGCCCTATCCAGCGCCGTTGCTGTCTCCAACAGGAACTTCGCTTGCTGGTACTTGGGTGGGAGGGAACCAACGATGTGGGCGAGAACGAAGGGTTGTTCACCATTGAGCCCCTTTTCGCGCAGGCGGCATACAGCAGCTCGAGTGAGTAGAGGTGCTCGATGGGGTTGCTGTTGCTGTGTGTGGGGATTGCAAAGTCGAACATCTTCCGCATCAAGGCCTGTTTTGACCCCTGTGACTCCGGATCGTAGAGCTCGCTTTTCCAATTCTGCGAGGACCTCTTTCGCTGACGTGCAGTTACTGGTGATTGCTTTGTCGGCTTCTGTTACCACAGCAGTAGTGATAAAATGGAACGCCTAAAGCCCTCGTTGGACTTCTGCTCTCGTGCGCCCCCTACGGAGCAGTTCGGAAGTCGGCAAGTTTGAGTCGCCCACGGGGATACTGCTCTCTGCATCTCCTATAAACTGCCCGTCCAAGTCGATGGACTTCGCAGCTTGGGTTGGATGGGGATGTCGCCACGAATCAAATCTGTGGCTACGTCTTTTCCCGTCTAGTAGCGGGGCATTGACCGTCACTCTTTTCTGGTGGCTACTGCTGTAGCCGTCGAGGTATTCTCCATTTCCTCGAATCACGGGTATCTCACCTGGGGGGTTTAACCCCCTCGCTTCCCCGTAGTCCGGTCCTATGCCCGGGCCCACTCC